TTATTGTAGAATTTATAAATATAATTTTTAAAATTAAAGTCCAATGCGTCTTGTAAGAAGTCTTATTTTTAACAAAAAAACAATTATCGAAATGTGATCACTCTACGAGACGTGAGATTTTTTCCTGTAAGGTATATTTTCAATCAAAATAACAGGTCATGCGCAGGCCTCTTAATAGGAAATTATTCGAAATTACGATTTACAACACTATATCAGTACGAAGCACAAAAGATGTACGATGCCACGGTCATGACTTCAAATTCTGAGATCTAACAATATATATTTTAATATCAATATACTATTAGAATTCATGAAAAATAGATGTATAATACAAATACTCGTATATTATTATATTTCAAACGGTCAGTGGATGTCCAATGTAGTTCCAACTAAAATTACTTATTAGGGATATTTCCAGTCGAATAAAAAAAGAAAATCGTGTTATAATCACGAATTTTGAAGGATTTTCAATGGACGTAGGTAGGGGCAATCCTAGGGTTTATTTTTAGGGCGGGTCCAAAGTGAATTTTGCCAATTTCCAAGAACAAATTTTGACAACTGTATACACTGACGACTGGTATTTTGTACCATAATATCTACCGACTGTTATTAGCTATTACAGTTTTAGTTGATTTATAATATCGTTAGTTCAAGAAAAAAATTATTAATAGAAAGACGTCCTAGGATATGGAGACAGGTGCAGCCACTGTTATTGGTAATTTTATGTATAACAATGAACCATTGCTTACGAAAAAACGATTCTGAGCGGAGTTCAGTTGATAGTAATGCTATGTCAAAAATATATATACTATATTAGAGTAAAATAATTAAATGGGCTTTATAAATTTTTTTTATTAATATTTGTTTACTGTTGTACTGATTTCATCGGTTTTCCTCCAGTTTTTTTTATATTTTTCCTGATTTTATCCATTTTTTCACATTTGCTGAAAAATTTCCGAAGAAAATCGATAAACGATGTATTTAAAGGACCTTTCCAATGACATTTCCTTTTAGAAAAATTGTTATCGTTAAAAATTGGAGTAAAAGTGCTGGTAGAAAGGTGGTAAAAAAAATCGTAATATTTTATTAATATATTTCTCACAGATTATCGTTTTTTTTATTGGTTTTTCATATTTTATAAGAAAATAGAAAAATGACTCTCGTAAAGTACCTCCCCACACCAATTTCCTTTCAGAAAATGTGCTACACGTAAAACTCAGAGCAAATCCTCTGGTTGAAAAATTGTCTACAAAAAAAAAAAATAAATAAACATCTTTGTAAAACTATAAGCTTCTTCGCTCCACTCAGAATCTAAAATACTAAATTAGCAAGTAACAGGGGTGTATATTAAATTTCAAAAAACATTACTGTTAAAAATTTAAAGTATGTTTAAATAATAATATATTATTCATTGCTAAGTAATTTTGTAGTTACAAAACAATACTTATGCTAACCTAAAAAATGTATGTAAGTACCTTTTCATACCCCTTATAGTGACACCTATGCAAAATTATAGTACAAGATACTAAATTTTTTCTAGTATTAGTATCACAGTACAGGATACAATTGTACTTAAGATACATATTTAAAATACTGCCTAACCCTACTTATATTTATTAAAATAATTTTTTAATACCTTTATAATTCTCATTAAATTCTTACAGAATTATTTTGATTGTTCATAATTTGAAAGTCGTTGAGGTGACCAAAATTAACACAAACCACTGTACTGACAATATTCTCAGTTATCTATGCGATTACAGATCAAAATAATATAATTGTAAATATAATAGGAAGATTATAATATTTATGTTTTATTAATTATTTACTTATTTTATAATAACAAATTTTATTTAATTACTTACCTACTTAATTTTGTATTATTTTAACTTTATCCATCTTGTATTTACAAGATATAAGAATACAAATTATATTTAAATTATTATTATCACAATACATTATATATTCTTCTACTTTTTTGTTTATGAAATATTATACTGGTTAGTAATTATTATATTCTAAGTGTAAGGAATATTACATGCTATAAAACATATATTTTCAGTGTGAACTGCTGATAATTAAAAACAAACTTAATTTAATTAACTATGTTAAACTTTTCAAATGCTTGTAACTTATTATTTAGATAAATTTAAATCTGATATACCAATCAAATTTAGATTGTAAATATAAAGTAGAAATTTACAACATATTAAATGTATACAACTGTAATTAAAAAACTTATAAAGTTGAATAAAAAAAATGATTAACCTTTAACTTCATTCTTATTTTATTTCAAATATTTGAATTTTATATAATTAAATTGTATACAATTTTTACTTAAAATTATTGATTTCACAAATAATTACAGTGATACTATTGATAATAGTAGTTATTGATAAGTAATATTTACAGTAGATGTAATTGTTTATTTGATACAAAATATTTTGTGATCATTAATTTAAATACTTAAAAATGTAATACATTATATTAATATTATAATACTATACATTTATAACTATAAACATTTTATTCAAAATCTTATATTATAATTTAAACCATTTAGATATTTTTAAAAATTATATTAGTCAAATATTATTCATATTTGTGTTTTAATCTGTTCTAATGGCTGAAAACAAAACGACTTATACAAAAATAATCTTATCAGCATAGTTAGATAAGCCTAATAAATGTTCCATTTCTCCTTATATGATCAGTAGGGTGCCACTTATTTTTGAAGTTGTTAATTTTGAAAAGCGCTGGCTGGGGATTTGTTCCAATACATCTAAAAATAGTGTCTGAACAGTTTGAGGTTAATAGAACATAGTTAACACGTGGTGACTTAAGGTCAAAGTTTGACTAAAAAATGTTAAATGTCACGGTTTGTCGCATAACTACTTAAAATTATATTTGACAAAAAATTATATAGAATCATTATTGTAGTTAAAATTTATTTCTAATAATATCTATAATAATCAGTTTTAAATCTAAATTTAATCTTTATATATCTAAACAATGATAATAGTTGGGTTATTTTATATTTGAATCATACACAACTTAAAATCGATAGAGTACCTAGTATCATTTTAATTAGTTCGTAAACGTACGTCTATCGAGAATATTGAGTTATTAGCGTTGTTATATAGTATTATAGTATTAGTGTTTTTTTTTCTTGAAAAGTGCATTTATTTACATATTTAATATATATCATATCATCCACGTATATTCTTAAAAATGCCTAATCGTGAACAAATTTTTCTTCTTGGTAGTATGAAACATCAAATAACTGGTTCGAAATTACCGTCAATTGGTGACTGTTTACGAGTTTTATTTTTTAATANGTTTTTTGGAAGAAGGCAAGAATTCCTATTAGAGATACTCACAAATGCAAAGATAAATTAAAAAATATTTATAATAATTGGCGACAACTATTAAAAAAAAAAAACAAAAAAAATGACAAATTCAAACAAAGAGAGTTACAGTTTTGTGGTACTTTAAATGATCTTTTTGATATTGCCCATCAAAACGCTTTGAGTATTATAAATATTGAAGAAGACAGGCAGTTTTTACTCAGGAAAAGAGAAAAAAGTCGAGTAGGATCCATGCTTGAAATTGATAAAAAAAATTAACGAATATCGAAGTAAGAAGGCAAACAAGACGAGAAAATTATGAGAAAAACTGAGAAAAAATGTTAAACACTCCATCTACATCAGCAGATGTCTGTTTAGATTTTTCATTTTCCGAAGACTCAAATACTGAGTCGGAAGAAGAGATGTATAATCAACCAACTACTAGTGTACAAGAAGAAATTATCGACTTATCAAAAGCTAAGGGAGCACGGAAGGAAATATTAACACCAAGGTTATCAGCAGCACTTGATATGTACAAAATAAGTGAAAGAGATGCTGTACATTTATTGGTATCATTTTTGGAAGCGGTTTCGTTAAATCCATCTGATTATGTTATTAATAGAACCTCAATTCGAAATTCAAGAGCCATTTTTCGCGAATCATATAACAAGCAAGTAAGAGAATCAATTAACAGTTTAAATATTGAGTCGATAGTCATTCATTGGGATACCAAATTATTAAAAAATGTAACTGGAAAATTAGTTGATAGATTAGCGATCATAGGCACAGGTACCAGTATAGAACAAATATTAGATATTCCAGAATTGTATGCAGGTACTGGAATTGAAATATCGTCCGCAGTATATGATACAATAGATAATTGGTTATTAACAGATNTTGCTCGAACGCAAAATAGGACGAGAAATTTTGTATTTTGGATTTAGACATCATATTTGTGAAATAGCTTTAGCAGCAGTTTTTACAAAGTGTAATATTTCATTGGTTTCTGGGCCGGATATACCTTTATTTAAACGATTTAAAGTAAAGTGGGCTGAAATAAACTATAATAACTATTTACCAGGAAACATCGACAAAGAAATTATTAATATATTAGAAGATGTTTACAATACTGCACTAGATTTTGCAAATTTTACAATATTGACCACATTACCGAGAGATGATTATAAAGAGTTCTTAGTGCTTATCGGCGCCCTTCAAAATTTGACAAATAATTATCTTTCTGTATAATTAACTGGCACCCTAATGATCAGTGACGTAATTTTACTATAACATTTTATGGCTTTTATATGTATGTAAACAATTAAATAATATTATTATTAACAATATAATGATTTTGATAAGAAAAAGTACAATAAGTAATCTATCAACGAGACTTTAAGTGGTACCTACTCAGTTGTTTTAACTACGGACTGGGTCACATTGGACTGGACAGTGTGAGAAGCGTAAGTGTGATTTGATATTGGATGTTGTTGAGGCTGTGGGTTATTGGTCATCGCTATGTCAGGTGGTTAGTTGTGGCTGTTAGAAGAGGGTGTCCCGTTACCGAATCCTGAGAAAAAATTTATCAGACTACAATATTACTCACAACCACATAAAAATGATTGAACAAATACTTTTTAAACGATAACTGATTTAATTACCACATAATTCATTTTTTTCCTGAGATTGGGAATTTTTGTCCGAGGGTTCATTGAAGGGTTTTTTTTTTGGTGACATTTGATTCCGATTATCCCCGTTACCCAAGCAGTGAGAGGAATTACAGTCACTTGGGTTCACTGATTCTTCGAATTTGATTGAGATACAATTATCTAGTTTCCCTAACCTTTGGTTCAATCGCCGCTGGATCCGGGCGTAGCGAGGGCGTCTGTGCCGTCTATTTTCTGGAGCAGCTTGTTGCGGGCCCGGTTGTAGTTCAGCATGTTCTAGTTCGTGTAGATTATTCTGGTATTTACTATGATTATTGCGTATGGACCCCAGCAATGTGGGGGGCGGTGAGTTGATGGAGTACGGTTGGAATACTTGGTACAGCGGTTGGTACAGTGGTTGGTTCGACGTATTCATATATGGTTCGACAGGTTGAGGGTAGTAAGCCGCCAGCTGTGTCATTACACTCATCGGCGGTTGTTGGGGTCTAGACGATGCAGACTGTTGATTCATATTAGTTTGCTTGTATTAGACCTAGATTAATAAGCATAAGAGTTTATCAATTATAATTCATCAGTAGGTACTATTCTATTTATACCTTCTAATTAATCTGATGGCCAATCAGATGGAAATTTGATTGTTTATTTACTATAACGAAATAATTTATTCTATATACAGGTTTCTGTTCAACAATTTTCTATTCAATCGTTCATATGTCACCTCTCTTCATACTCGATGATGTAAGATTATTATTAATAATTAATAATATTATATTTATTAGCCGTTATAATATATATATATTGTATATTATTATATATATGTATATTTTAATATTTACCAATGCATTTCAGGCCATCTATTTGTTTATATAGTAGATAAGTTGTAGTTGACCTGTTATGTTCGTAATGAGTTTTGCGTAAGGTGGTGCTCGGCTTCAGGCTTAAGCGTAAGTGACCTGATGACCTAGCTGCTAGCAAATACACCAACTTGAACAATCAATTGCTAGATTTATTATGCCATGATACAATCTTGTGTGGCACACTGGCACACTGTTGTGTTTTGGTACGGTCGGAGTTTATTGATTTGAGTATTTTTTTGTTTCATTTTAGGATTTCAGTACCGAATTTCGGTATTTAAACATGGCGTCCAAGTACAAAAATAAGAAATTAAATTAATTTAAATGATATGTACGATACTGCTACATTGAATACTCTTTTACTACCGTCACACTGCTATAATGTTCAGACCCATTGTATGGGATCCTGCCATGCTGATAGAGCTCGCTGTTTTAACAAAGAAAGTGCCATATAGACTCCGCCCATAATTTTATTGTGATAATCCTTAGATCATATACTATGGATGTAGCCATCATCCCCACCGTTATTAAAATTGTATAGTACATGACACAAATGCGCATGCCCAGAAGTTAGCTGGCGGTTTATGACAAATGATATTGCAATAAGGATAAGTGATAATGCCGAAAATAAAACGATATTGATTTCTGGGCATGTGCAGTTGTGTCGTATACACCAAAGGCTCGTGTTATGGTGCACAGAATCAGTGCACTACCTACTATTTTGAAATCTATAGGCACATTGTTTTGTTATATTACTACAATATAAAAATATATTATTAGTTATTATAGTATATATTTTACTTTAGGAACAAGAATAAAAATTATTTTTTAGAATTAAAGAAATATTTATAGCGAAAAGTCGAGAAAAATGAATGTTATCGCACGTTATAGGTATGCTATCGTACACAATTCGCAGCGGCAGCGGTCACGGAGTATGAACGGGCAAATACAATTTTTGTACCAGTTGTGCATGCGCATTTAACCGTTTCGGTCCTAATACTGGCAGAACTATCATTAGTCTTAGTGGTGTATTGGTGCATAAACGAATATTGCACCGCTGCGGCTATATAGCTGTCTGTCGCTGCTGACGAAGAATATATTGGGAACTGATTATTTCTTTTGGATAATATTAAATTTGTCAACCAGGTGGCGTCATCTCCAAAAATATCATATAGAAAATATTGACTGACCTGGTTTACATTCAATTCCTCAATAATATTATCTAATGTAATGTAACAAAAAATAAAACATATTAATTCCCTAATATATTGTAGATTTGTATCTAAGAATCTGCTATATAAAAAAATACAAATATATTCATATTGCAATAAAATACTTGTTTTAGTTCTTATTTTCTAAATCAACTATACTTAATGTATTCAATTTTTAAATGTGTACCATCAATTATTTTACCCATAAGCCGACATTGGTCGTATACCGTGAAATTTGAAGGTGGTGGGGATGATGTTGGACACAATTCAGTGCTAGAGCAATTATATGCTTATCTACATCCATAGTGTATAATCTAATTGATAATCAAAGGTTTGCCAAAATTAATGATATTAAAACGTAGCAGTCACTGTTACTTATCACTGTGATTCAATAAGTAGTAGCACGGTCTTAGAAGAATAGGTCTAATCATTTGTCCTTTTCAGGTGTTCACTTGTTGAAGCAATATTAATTTTAGATCAGATTCACGATCACTTTATTCACGAGCACTGCTAATTATACTTATTTGAGGTTATGAACTTAATACTTTAATATTGATTACATGATCTGGTAGAATTCCGCCAAATTTTAATCATTGTTTGTGTATTTGATATATACATATTGTTATTCATTACTGTAGTATACATAGATCATCTTGCTGGTTATTAGTTTAACCTTAATTATATTTCAAGTATAATTTTATACTTTATATATAATTTTCTTAAAAAATACCTCATAATATATGTTTATTTAGATGCAATAAAAATAAAAAACTTAGTTTTTTCAATTCCAAAGAATGATGTTAAAAAGGAATGGTTGAATTCTTTAGAGATAGACAATTTATATGATATAATTTATGAAGAACATTTTCACATTGATGAAATAATAAGAAATGAAGAATGTTAGGTAAATTTGGAAATATTGTGTGTTTAGCAAGTTATAAATGTCTCATGAGTTAACATGTCTCAACATAGTTGCATATCTTTAATATTATATACAATTTCATGACAATTTATTGTTTAGGTTCCTTTTTTATGTCCTTGGCTAATACCAAATGTAGTACCTTATATATTTTCAGCAAAGAAGCGATTAAAATCTAATGGTCATAATATAAGAAAAGTTATTATCAAAATTGTTATTAAAACACAAGTGAAAAGGGAGAATAAAATATATGTGTGATTGTTTTAATGTTTTTGTTATATATATATATATATAAAATTATAATTTCTAAAACATCTTTAGTTAAAAGTTATTATATTGTTTTTAATACTTTTGTTGAATGAATGATTCAATTTTAAGGATTTCTTAATTGATCCTGAAAACGTAACAAGTATTTTGGAACTGAACGATAGCAGTTTAAATATTTTTGAAATAAATACAACTGTTTCTATAATACACAAAGAAGAGCATTATATTTTCTTGATTACAAATAATAAGAAATCATTATTATAACATTTAAAAATTAAATTTGTTTATAGACAATTTTGAAAAATAAAAATAAAATTGACATTTCATTTGTTGAAATTAATAAATCTGATTTAAATCCACCCCCAAATTTACACAAATATTTGTCTCTTGATGAAAAGTATTTGGATACATCTAAAATTGCTTTTGTAAAGAAAGAAAGCAATTATAATTCTTTTAAGTGTAAAAATATAATTAATAGTAATATTTTGGAAAAATAGAAGTACACATTAAGACAAATTAAATAATGTAAACAATAAAATTGAAAGCCATGAACATTTAAAACATTTGAAATGGTTTTGTTGATGTTCTGCAGTGGATTGGATTTAATAAGCTCTAAAACATAAATTTTTAACCATTTTTTGGTTATGGACCCCGTTCAAATACAAACTATAACTATTGTCCCTCAAAACAAACTACATTTTTAATTAAAATTATTTTTTAATGCTAATAATATAAGACTTAGTAAATACATAATTTTGTTTATTCACATTCATACATAAGAATAATTGTTTGGTGTTTATTTAAGTTACAGTGTGATATTTTTTGTTGTTTTTATTGTATTATCGCTTTGAAATCCAGGACTGTTTTAGACAGAGCAATACGCATATCATATTTGATATCCAATCCGTTTCGTGATTTTATATTGATTGTAACCATTGAAGAAAATCCCGACTCACAGAGATATGTAGTGGCAAATGGAATCAAGCATTTCACTGCCCTGGATACAGCCAGTGGATAAGCCTTTGTCAATGAACACCATCGAATAATTTGAAATAAATTTATATTTGGGTAATTTTAAAAATCTCACACCCACTTTGTGGACCTCTGAGTTACTCTCTACGGACCTCCTAAGGGTCCATGGACCACCGGTTAGGAACCCCTGCTCTAAAAAGTAGAAAAAAAAAAATTTAATTACAATATTTTTACAATTGCAATCATTTTTCCAATTACAATATCATATTTGATACTATGCAAGTGATGATATAAATGTCAGATGTTCAGTGTAATTTTAAACAACTTGCATTGTTTGTACTGTGTAAGAACTATACACAATATAAAGTAAAGGAAACTACAGTCGTCTTCAATATCATCTCCAAAACAAGCTTCATTAAAAACTACACCAAAGAGTAGTAATATAGTCATTTATAAAATTACCATAATATTAAAATGATTAATTTTATTAAAATCAGGTTAGCAATTCTGTAGGGGGATGATACTTAGAAGAATGGTGTTGCACTGTATGTTGTTTTAAATATACAATTACCAAGTGATTACAATTTCTACTTGAAGAATAATATAATGCAATTACCCAATGTTAGTACTATAAGATGGTTTCTTTCTTTAATAGATACATCTTGTGATGTATGTTTAATAAACAATTTTTTGCACTATTCAAAAAACACCTAGAAAAAAAATCCAAAATGCAAAAACATGATATTATTCTCGTAGATGAAATTTCAGTCAGAGAAGCAATTACTGTGTGTTTCAAGTATCTTATTTAAAGGCTTTGTGAATTTTGGTTGGCGATTTTAAGGCAAGTGGTTTAAATGAAAAGGCATCTAGTTACCTAGTTTTCATGTTTCAGCTACTTGCAGCTAAATATTTCAAACAGTTGCTGTCTTCACTTTAAGAAAACCTGTAGTTGGCACAAAGTTAGTAACTTATATTAAAATATATAATTGTTCTGGAACAAGCAGGTGCTATTGTACATGGATTTGTCTCTGATGGAACTCAGATAAACAGAAACAAGTGGACTGAGTTTGAATAATGGAGCCAAGTTAATTCCATAAAAAATTGGTTTCAATATTCTCTGGATGAAAAGCGGAAAATGTATAGTTTTTCTGATATACCTCACTTATTTAAAAATATGAAAACAAAATTTTATGATGACAAAATACTGAAGGAAAGTTCTTATTACCTATTTATAGCTATTTTTATTTACCATTGTGGTAACATATTATCTAATATTAATTTAGTTCATTTTGTGTATAATCTATATAGATTTTAATTTTTATGTATTTGTTTATTTTTATTAAGAATCTTAAGTAAAGTTTCTTAACATTGCAGTATGTGTGAATGTAACAGTTTTAAAACATTACTTCAATTTATATGTGTATTATTATGTTTTTGTTTGTTTAATGTGCTTAGAAACCCTGGAGCTCTATTTTATAATGAGGTGTGTTTTTATTATATAAATATCAATAAAAATAATGTAATTAATTCTACTCACATTTTTTATACAGATTAATGACCAGTATGTTATAATCATATTAGTATTTTATATGAGCAGGATAGCCAGGAATTACCAGGAAGTTTAAGAGTTTGTTCAAAATATCAAAGAACCATATACACAGTGTTGAATTCAGACAATTTTTCTGGGGGAGGGGGCATTACTAAAATTATAGTCAAATTTGTTTAATTATTTAATTAATTATTAATTTACCCATATTTAACAAAGGGCTATCACTCACTCTGTCTTATACCTGGATTCAATACTGCATATACATCTTAGTGTATTTGATAAAATGAAAATTCAGCTAGCTACTCAAGCATAAAAAATTATTAGAATTATTTAACTATACAACATACTAATATTTATTGGTTTTTTATCTTTTCCAGGCATTATAGATTCATTGTCACTTCCACTATGTTCTTCCATGCATACTGATCCATATCTAACTGTTTTCCATATCTTATTCCCAGGAGGTTGGCTCTTCACTGACTTGGTTATTCCACCAGTATCCTCTGGATATCATTTGTCTGGTTTCCAGCATAATATAATACTAATAATAAATAATAAAAAAAATGATTATTTTAATAATAATCAGTATTAATTAATATTTAAATATTTTATGAACACACAATGCCTTTGGCTTATCTTTAATCATTATACAGGTGTTAAGTAATTCTATTGCCAATGGTTTGATTATACAAATAATATAATATTCCAGGATTAATTAATTATTGTGAACCAGCAGTTGAATTTTGTCATAAGTTTAATGACTATTTCAATGCCCTCAATAGAAAATTTGATGCTAAAGAGTTAAAGGTTAACGGCAAAGACTATCAGGCAATATTTACTGATAATAATTTTATACAATTTTTATTTAATTATTTGGTTAAAAAAATACCTATATAATTAACTTATGAATTTGCAGGATTTTAAAAGCTAAAAGAAATGGCTGATGTCTCTAGAGGTTAATCATTTATACAATAAATAATTATAATAATTAAAATATTAAACAATGAATTGGTACCACAGACCAGTATACTAATAGATAAGCATATCATGTGTATTCAAATACGGTACTGTATACAGCGTGTTCAGCGCTCCTCATGTACAGAGTAACAACTATATAACTGATATCGAAAAAATCGATTTTATTATCGATAGTATCGATTGTACTATCGGTAGTTAGTATCGATTATATTGTACATTCAATTTTTTTTTGTTTTTTTTATTCAATTATATTATGATTGCTAACTGAAAAAATTTAGTAGGTATTTAAACAAACAAAATAAACATGTAGGTATAATAAGTATATTTAAACAAAACATATTATGTATATATTAATAACAAATAATTTCTTTTACAAGTAAGCATATGGAAAAAAAAACAATATTAAAAAGACAATATTACATACTTACAAAATAAAATAACATGTTATTATATATTTTATTTAAATGTAAGGTAGTACATATACAAACAAAAATCGTTTGTTGTATTTATTTTAATAGTCTTTTTCATATGTATTAATTGTTCGTACACCACATAGGATTTTATTAATTTCAGTAAACCAATTGAATACAGCTAATTTAATTATATAATTTAAAAATATAGAAAAAAAATTTTTTACCGTGAGTTTAATAAATGAGATGGGGAATTTCAAATTTTGTAAAATCATAGATTTAAATTTGAATAATGACAAATTGAAGGAAGTTGGCAACAAACTTCATTTATGATGTTCTGAATTAATGAAGAAAATTCAAAATTACGATACTTCAGACATAATTTATTTGTCTGATACTCCCTTGCTTCAATAATGGTGTGATATTTAATTTGTTTAATGCACATGTCTGTGATATACACAGCTCATACTTTTTGAATAATGTAATATTTTACATTTAATTTTTTGCAATAAAACCAGCAATGTAATATTGGGTTTGAGTTCGTAAGTTTTTAATATCACTAGTATTAATTAACCTCTCTCTCAATTGACCATTAGCCACCCTTGGTTCTAAATTTAAATTACTAGAACTATAAATGCATTCGTCATCAAACAAATGTTTATATGTTGTAAGACAGACTTCAGCGAAATCTTCCTCGCAGTTGTTTCCAGGTGAGTTAGTTAAAGTTAAGTTATTGATTATAAGAGTTTTGTATGCTGATGAAAATGCTGTAATTGGGGGAATGTTGTTATGATATCCCAAACTTCGCATAGGACCAAACAATTTTCTAAACTATCTTGGTTGAAGGTCCTTAACAATAAGCTGTTGATTCCCTTTTCAACCATTATTTTTGTAATATTTTGAAAACCTACAATAATAAAAAAATATTAATTAAGAATTGATTTATATTTTTAATTTTCTAATGAATTATAATATTATTAATATTAAAATTACCTCTTATTGTTTTTATCTAGTTAGTTATTACACGTGGCTGAGGATTGGTTCGCTTTTCAGAGACAATATTGGTATAGTGTAAAATCTATACACTATTTTCAATGAATTTGCCCATAGTTGATGATGGAGAGACTTTGATTTCACTGCTATTCAGTAAATCTTTCCATTAATGATCTTATCAGAACTGACATTTATAGAGTCAAAAAGTTAATCGAAAAATAGACATAATTTGGTTGTCTCTGCTGTATGCTTATCTATGTGACCATAAGCTGAAACAGAAAAATAATATTTTACATATTATTATATATTGATGGTTAATAATAACCACTAATTTATCTGAATTTAAATTTATTTACATGCAAAAAAATTCATTATTGATGATATTCATTGACTCAACACTTGGCATGCACACTTCACTTTCATTTTCCTGATTTTTGCAGGTATAATATGTCTATGAGTTATTCTGGGTAAATTTTTTAAATCTTGTATATTACTGTTTAAATTATATACATCAGATATATCTTTCCATCATATTCCTAACCATTTATTGTCCATCAATTGAAAATTGTAAATTTTTGTTTAAAAGATTATTCCTTACACCTTTAATTAAATGAGGTGGATCATATAATGGTATAATTTTGACCCATTTATTGACTTCTCCTTTTTTTATTAAAACTTCAAAAAAAAATCTCCGCTAAAAGGTTCATCTTATTTTAAATATCGAGATTTAGTGTCATTTATCAAAATACTATAATCTCCTACATTTATAGTTCCTTGGTCACATACAGTAGCAATGATTTCTAAACCAGTTTCGTTTATACTGTATATAGAATCTTTAAACATTTTTACTAAAATATGTTTATGAATAGCTCCATTACAAAAAATATAAGATAGAAGTTGTTTATACTGCTTAATAATATCTCTTATAATAAACACCAACACACGATCTGCCAATTTTTGTGTACGAAAAAACCCATCATCATCAAAACCATTTATTTTTCCTTTAAAAGAATCATAATGAAGTTCATTACTCAAAAATATTTCGTCAAAAATCAAAACTTAATATCTCTGATTAGGTTGTAAGTTTTTAACATTTTCTTATAATGCATTAAGTACATTTTGATTTATCCCTGTATCAACTTTGAATTTAGATTACGTAGTATACAATGTCTTTCTACCAGGTAACGTAAATAATTTAGTATGACTTCGGACTTTTTGTATAAAGATAATTATTATAATTTTTCTTCATTTGTGAAATAACAAACTTTTAATTTTTTTGAAGTTTCACAAATTTGAAGTTTGTTGATCAATGTAGCCGCTACAGAAATTCTGCTACTGGAAAATTTTTTATGAATGAATTTGTTTGTGCAAAATCTCATGCAAGCGAGACTTAAAATTCTTAATTTTTTTTAACTCGTATTGAAGTTTTTTTTTAACCATAAGCCATCAGCATATAGTGATTTACACCTGGGTGATAATTTTTTTTTTGATATCACGCCAATTTTATAAAGTAGCTATACAACAAACATGGTAATACTTAAATTTAATACTATACAAAATAATGTCACTATACATTTACAATTATATATTATTACATAGTATTTAATTTTTGATTTTTCTATATTTTTGTGCGTAAACACAAGTGGGGTCTGGGAGCTAGACCCCCTTTAAAAAACGTGCAAAGGCCCTCACAAAAAGACATGCAACATTTTATCATGATATGGATTTAAAAAAATAACAATTCGTCGGTCTGAAACCATAATTATTTAATGTGACTAGATGATCTACTTTGATTTTGATTTTTAAATATTTTTCTGTCTACAAGCAATTACTGATCTATACATGCAACATTAGACTCAATACCGAAAGCTGTATAAAAGCGTGAATAAATAAAGCAATACAAGTATGAAAAATTAGATACTTTAATTAAGGAAAAGTTATGAGTACTTATTACGCTTGACATTCCATCAAATTCATTATTCAGCAATTCTTCTACACTAGACATATTTAGATATATTATTTTATATTTATATAAGCGGGTACTAAGTAATACAAATTAGTATTTTAACTTACTCAGAACATTAGACAAAGAATTTTATATAATGATGTCTAGTTCACTTTGTATAGGCATACTGGTATTTTGTACACATAGAATATGGATAGCTTTGTATAACAAAAAAAAAAAAAACAATTTTTGTTAATAAATAATGCAAATAATAACAGATTTTAGATATTAGGAATATGTATATTATGAATATGAATATTTAAAAACCATTTTTAAAACTCACAAGACAAGTTTAATGATGATACAACATTGGATTTTAACCACTTGGTTCCAGGACTTATGTCATTAACAGTAGCGAGGCCAGAGGTTTTTGGTTGGGGAGACACTGAAAAAAATGGCACTTAAACGCCTAGACTTCCCCCTTTTTTATTTTATCTAACGGTAAGAATTAAATATTCAAAAACAAAATGAAACATATTTAAAAACGTTAAAACTTCCTTAAAATGATAATTTAATATAATAACAAATCACAAATGTATTATAATTTGTAATCAACAAAATAAAATGTAATATAATATACTGTATATATGCAACTCGCATTAAGATAATGTTTAAAAAACAAATTTATGTTAATTTGTATGTTAAATCTATTTTTATATTTTTTGTCTTAGAAAATAAGTCGATAACATTGTCAATAAATGTTGGGTCATTGGCTAATTCGCTCAACATTTTCTTCTCGGTCTAATGCTATTTACATCGTTGTCTGTATATTGAAGTTCGTAATTCAATTCCATTGCAGATTTGCAACACTTGGTTATAGTATTTTGGTCATTTCTCATACCTGATAATCGCGTAAATAAATTTTTTATTTCATTTATGGAAGTTTGTACATACGCAGTGCATTTTGTTTGAAGTATTAAAAATACACGATCAGAATATATAAATATTCGATCAAACAGACATAATAAATAGACAAATTTTGGATTAGATAATTTATGCAGTAACCCATAAGCCGTACTTATAGAAATCGGATCCCAGTCTTTTCCCTCTGTTACATTCGATATCGCTTTTTGTAGTTCTTTAAAATGTGTAATTATAGTAGCTGCTGCTCTTGAATGGTAATTCCATTTTGTTTCACAACTTTTTGGCAACTTAAAACCTTTTTCCTGAAGCAGCTCAGTTCGTTTTGGTCATTTACTGAAAAATGTATGAAACATTGTAAGGTCGCTTATAAAAATATGAACGGACTTAATATTTTTTGACCCGTGTAAAAAAATTAGGTTCAGTTGATGGGCATAGCAGTGAATAAATATGGCTTTTGGATAGATTTTTTTATAATGGCTTGGACACCATTTTGTTTTCCAGCCATGACGGCCACTCCATCATAAGTCTGACAGATAATTTTATCGTTTATATTCCAATTGGTTATTTCTGCCAATAAAATATTTGAGAGCCCAACAGCACTTTTATCTTTTGATACGTCAAAAAAACCTATAAATCTCTCTTCAATATTCTTGTCAACGACGTATCTTAAAATAATACTCATTTGTGATTTATACGATACATGGGTGGTTACATCGGCTTGTATAGACACAAACTTTGCACTTTTTAAATCATTCCTTATTTTAGTATTTACAACATCTGTAATACAAGCAATTAAATCATTTTGAACATCAATAGACGTTCCTTTAAATAAAGAGTTAGACAAAAAATGTTCTTTGAGTATTTGTTCTTCTTACGATAATAATTTTAATAGCTCTAAATAATTACCCTTACTTGATGAGCTTATTCGTTCATCGTATCCCCAGAAAGCCAACTATTGTTTCCTCAAATAACACACAACATGAATTAATCGAGCGACGGTTAATGCCAACGTGTTCATTATATTTTATGTCGACCTTCCGATAGTGCACGATCAATTATATTTTTACCAAGTAACTGAAATTGTTCCTGATAAATAAGATGCCTTTCAGAAATAGCATGTTTGATTGCTTTTCGTTTGAAATTTTTCATATTTGACATAACTTCGTGGCTCCAAGTTTTATCTCCTCTTAATAATAGGCAATAAAAACAATATGGTTTATTTCTTACCTGACTACCAGTAATCCATTTATATTTTGAATACCACACGAATTGAAATTTTCGAGTTGATTTTCTGTCAGCTATCGTTAAATTCAATAAGGGACATGGTCTTTTATTTTTTGATTCAAATTTGTTTTCATATGAGTAGTTAATAATTCCATCATTCAAAATGGCATGAATTAAATCATCAGCCATGAGGATAAATTACAAATTACAATATAAAACAATACATAGGTATTAAAAACACTCAAACACGTACGACGTAGGTACCTATCACGATGGCGTGACAATCGCGACGGCGACGTCGATAATAAATATTGAGGACTGAGGTAATTACGAACGGCGAGACGCGTCTCATAGCGTAGATAGTAAAGGTACGGTTTCCAAGGCGCGACCGATCGCCGCGATAGTCGCCGTCCGACTGTTGGTATGTAATTCCTATTGACTGGTTTCCAACGCGCGATTGTTGTCGCGCGACTGAACTTTATCGTGGCGACCGGCGACACTACTGGTCCGAGAGCAGTGTATTGCGACTGTCGCGTGTGACCGTTGATTTATTTCATTCATAAACCAGCTCTTGGGTAGTGTATTTCGACTGTCTCGTACAGCAATATGGCTAAATTGCATTTTTCGGGAGAAAAAGAAGAACAACTGATCGAAATGGTTCGAAGAAATGTTGAGTTGTTTGATCTGTTGCACAACAAATATAAAAATGCAGAACATAAAGAATGTCTATTTATTAAAATTTCAAAGTATCCTTCACTTTTCCTATTAAGAAAAAATGTATCAACTTTTTCTTTTTGATCGCATTGTGTTGTATTTAATAAATCATCATTCTCTTGCTCTTCTTCAAGAAGAAGTAACATTATTTTATTATTGTTATTAATAATTGTATTCATACTCATAGTAGTAAATATACAATTTACCTTTAAAACACTAGCCCTCACTGTGACAATGATACTGAATACAGATACAGAATTTAACGGTTTTCTTTACGTCACCGGAGACTGGTCTCGGCGACCAGTCGCGCCTAGGAAACTAGCACGCACCAACGACCGGTCGCGCCTTGGAAACCATACCTTAAACGCCATTCAGATTAACATTCCTCCGGTACCCGCGCGCCCATATTTGCGGAGACAATGCGTGGCGACGTCTATTAGATTTAATACCATATTTGAAATGACCCGTATCGCCAGCTCGTACGCACGGCCGTATCGCGCACATCTAATCTATTTTAAGAATTCTATAACTGTACAACGCAAAACCGATTTAAACAAAACAAATATTGACACATACATCATATTATATTCATATTTATTATTATAAAATGTAAATATTAAATTCAAATTTGTAAATAGTTTGTAAAACAAAATAATTATTTATTTGTCCCGTATTCTAATTTCTAAATGGATAGACATTGTCTCTTTGTCTCATACGCTTCACCAATGGTCATTAAGGGTAAAATGGTCAGAACAAACACGTTTTTTTCATAAATTTCTATTGGTTCACAGATAACTTAACGATTACCAATAACATCGAGTCACTATTTAAAATACACCACATTTTTAACTGGATGAGGAAATCTATGACTTGTTTGATGTAATGAAAAATAAAAAAAAATAGCTTGTAATACAGTATGCGTTTTGCAAAGTCTACGAAATAATACATAATACATAATACGAATCTATTGATAAACAGCTATTAATACAACACTTATACGCGTGTCTTGACATTTTCGTATATAGAGTAATTGTTATATAAAACCAAATTTAATAATAATATTATAAACGACAAGTCAACAATATACCCCAATATAGGATATGTACACAGATCAGTAAATCAGTAAAACGACAGACGACAGTTGTCCATTTTTCGTATTTGGTCAAGTGATAAACTACAAAAATGGTCGCGATACTACCGCTAGCCACGTCTGGTACCTAAACAAAACTTGCTTAATCGGTCGTATTAAGATAAGAGACCCCGATTGGTACCACAATTTATTACAACTGTGCAAGGCAGAATACAATACTACGGTCTATGATCTTCTAAGACCGTAGTATTCGTACTTAAAATAATAACATAACCTCAAATAAGTATAATCGGAAGTACTCGTGAGCAAATTGTAAACTAAATCTGACTTAATAAACGGACATCGTTCCATAGGCAGGAGGATGACGGATGATATTATTTTGGCGGGTTACACCAAGACACGAGGTTTATGATAAGGTAATAAAGAAACGTTTATTTACAACAAACAGACATAATACAAATGATCGCCAGCAGACGGCTTTTGACGGAGGAAAGGCGAGCACGCAACAATTAAAAACAACATTAGTTAAGAAAAACAATTATACATAATGATTATTCAGAGTCGGAAACAATGCTTCGCGAACGGAGTCGATGCGGAGAGGTGGTCACGTCATGACGAGAGGAGCTGTAGACAATAACCGCTGAACGCCGACGGCGAGGGGCGTGACCGACGACCGTCGTGCAGCGGGAAGAAGAAATTTTGCGTNTTATTCCAATGAAACGGCTGACCGGCCGCTATTAACGGTTCACTAACGGTAATATCGTTTTTAGTACTAGTCGGAGATTTGTACGATTGTTGTTTTTCTATATTATATTAAGATTAAAAGCACGTAATGAAAACATCGTAGAATACTTCTGTGCAAATATAGAAACGATGTATTGTGAACTATTTTACATGTTTATTTGTTACGTAGAAAATATTTACCCTAACAACTGAGTGTTCTCATAATTTAAAAATGTGTCAAATATAATAGAACTCCATGCCATCTGTTGCGGCCCTTTGAGGGCACTGCCGCCTCAGTCATATTATTATATGTTATCGTATTCTCGCAATTCGATTATTAATTGTTTTTTTTTATCGACATCAACGCGAATGCCATCTGATCCGTCTTTTTAAGCACACAAATTCAAATGGTTTTCGAATTATAACATAGAATTTGAGGCATGGAAAAGAGAAGAAAAACAAAAAAAGTTATTCAGTGTTTTTTATTAATAGAGCAATGTCTAAATTTCGTGATGGATGTTGAAAATAATATTATTATTGTCATCGGCTATATGCTCAGAATATTAAGAAAGGAAATGGTGGAAAAAGGGAGAAAGTTGTCCAATGTTCTTGTATTGATGATGTCATCAAAGCAAATATTTGTAGGTATATAAATGAGTGTGCTCGTAATTTTTTTAAACATTTGGATGACAACAATATTAAACAAATTTGTCAAAAACTCTTATAGTTTCGGGTTTTTCCTTTTCAGAAATATTGCCGCTATTTTCGTTGTCATTCATCGCAATTGTGTTCTCCATGGTGTCAAGGCGATAACTGAGACCTTATTTGACAAACACCGTCGCATACTATCAAACAGGTTTGTCAAACACGTCGTCAATCAAAATTGTCATCAAACACGTCAAACATTTACATTGTTTGACAAACATGTCAAACAAGCTTGCACACTATCAACAAATCTGACAAACACGTTTGTCAAACGAAAATTTGACAAATAATTTGATCGTTTACAGGGCACTTTAAAAAAATCTTATTTTCCAGGTCGAGATGACAGTGTAATTAACAAAGGTAAATTATATACAAGAAATAATATATTTTATGGTGTGCCACATTTTCATATCTCATTGTCCTGGGAATATTCGAAAAATAACCATTCGTGTAACTAGGGTATTGTTTATAGTGCCATAGTGTAACCAACGTAAAGAAATAATATGTTTTATCCATAGATATATTAATAAATGGACTGCGCTTAGAGAAGGAAATGCGGAACCTATATTGAGCGAGAGAGATAGTGCTAGTAAGAAACACTCATGGAAAGAATGATTAAAAATTGTAATTTACACCATGAAATCATTATTATCTATTTATCAGTTTATCACGTCAATTTAATCTATCAGTGGAAATAATAACAATCATTTGCATGGAGAAATAAAAATTTAAAAGTATTTTATCCATGGTTGCCCACAACTATCGCTATCCTTCTCACTCAACAACGAACATCATTGACAGAAAGTGGGGAAAACACATCCATTTATTACTATATCTATGGTCTATAACCGTGGTATCAACTAAACTGTTCAGCCAATCAGAATACGTAGATTAGTTTACATGAGAATAAAAGAAAACACCGAAAACTGGCAGCCATGTTTGAGTAGAAACGTTGTTAACTAGAATATTGCTGTCTTACCAATTTAATTTGTCATGAATTCTCGTACTTGACTACAAAATATTGTATTTACGATTTACCTAATTCTACTATTTAATGTAAACAAGATATTTCTGTTATTAGTGTGTCATTCTTTTTAATTTGATCAAATAATTGAATTTCTCTATTTATATTTAATATATTCACTTAGTTGTTAGTTTTTTTTATTAAACAATGGCAAATAACTATCAATTCAAAATGGGTGAGTATATGAAATCTATTATTTATGTTGCTACCAGTATATTTTATAATTATTGACAAAATGCACAACATAGGTGATTAACACATCAGTTTTTTTAATGTATGATAAAGTGGCTGTGTAATTTAAATAAGTACTGTTCTGTTTTGTCATACAGTGGAAAAATTAATCAGCTTATGGTGGAAATGTGTTTGTATAACATGATGCATTCAGATGATTCGATATTATGTACCAATAATAGATTTAGGTTAAATAAAGTCATTTGTCAATCAATATTGTTGTTCTACGCAGATACTTGAAACTCATATCTGTGTCTTGTCAAATTAATTTTTACTTTCTCTATAATTGGTATCGCCATTCAAAAATAATTAAACTATTTTATTCATATTTTTTTAATTGGCAAATAATATTAAAAGAGCCAATAATATGTCCTATTTTTCATAACAGGATATATTTAGTATCCTTGATATTAAATGATTTGGTGTTGACGATATTTGTGGTAGGTACCATTACATTATAAGAAATGTCCATCTAGATACACAGACTAAAAAAAATTGGGAATAAAAAAAATCTTGTGTTTATATAAGATTGTATATGATGAAAAATAACTGAACACTGTCTGAATAGTCCAACTATAAAACTAAAAACTAAAAATTAACACTATCAATATTAAATTATTATATTAGTAACATATTACACAAATTTAAATCTATTTTGTATCAAAAATAAAATTTTAAATTCTACTGTATGAAATAGTTTAATACTCTTAAGTAATTTTTTAAAATGTGTAGGTATAGTCGAGTTGTGTAGAAAATTTGACAATAATATTATATGTTTTATTTAGGTGATAATGTATTATGTTTTTGTGGACAAATGTTATATGAAGCAAAATGCTTAAAAAGAAGGAAGATAACTCAAGAAAAAGTAGAATATTTGATCCATTTTAAAGGTTGGCATAGTAAATGGGACGAATGGGTAGACGCTGAACGAGTATTAGCAGTGAACGATGTCAACATGAAAAAAATGGCATCATTAAAAGAAATATAGTAAATAATTTAAAATAAATTACTACCTTTAAAAAGTACTTGTTTGTTATAGCCCTGCCATTGTAGTGAATATATCCGCTACCATGCGGTAGTTAAAATAAATTGGGTGTTATTGTTTTAGTTAATAGTTCGACACGAGCTAATGATAAATGAAACATGGCAAATGTAACAAGCAAAAGTTATGCCATACTAGGTGAATCTAACTAAACAGGCTGGGTTGAATCAAATAAATACCTTTTATAAATAGATAATATAATTTGTTAAATACATTTATTTTAATTGTTAATACATAGTTCACGTTCAAAAAAGGGAGCAAAAAAACAGTCAAAAACTGTCATAATAAAAAAAGAAACCGTTCAAAGTACTCAAAAAAATACTTCACCAACTGTGAAAGGAAGAAAACGTAAATTAATTAATTAATCAAGTGATAAATGGTCCATCCTCACAAGATTCCATATCAAAAAAATGAGGTAATTTATTTATTTTTTTACTGAACTTTTATTTTATTTGAATGATTAATCATAACAAAATACGTTATTTGTTCCTTTTAGGCCGTTCTTCAAAAAACTATTGTTTCTAATCTTAAGATAACTGAAGTAATTAAAACAACTAAATTGATTGGAGCAATTGAAAAAATAAATGCAACTGAAAAATTAAATTATAATAAACAAAAAAAAAGGAAAAAAGTCCTTGTTTCTTTAATTTGATTTAAAATTTAATAATTATTAAATGACAATGAGATTATGTTTAAAAAATAAGTAAATTATAAATTTTGATGTACATATACATATTATATTAAAATAAATGTAGATGAATATTAACCCCATATGTAGTTAATTTTGAAATTTATTTTACTTTAATATTTTTTTTTTATTTTCATTATTTCTAACATAACTATAATAAATTTTTCAAACATATCTAAGGAAACAGTATTATTTTTAACTCAATTGTAAATATATTTTAGTATTTCTTATATTTTGTTTTAGTATATAGCATATATGTAGATACCAAATCTGGGCATTAACTAGTTAGAAAGTTAAAGTTAAGTTAAATTTACCTATACTCTGTTCCAAAAGAGAACATACCGCTCTGACGACCAGTTTACGTTCGGCGGCGCGCATCCCCAAACCTAGCATCGCCGTTTTAGTCAAATATCACGTAATTGTAAAAAAAAAAGGTCTATTTGACATCGGTGTAAACTCGTCGTACAGCGACCGTCGTGCATAATTAGTGACCGTTGGGCACGATCGGTGCATGGTTTTGACGACGGTGGGAGAATTTAGGTCTGGACGATCGCCAACTCTCAAATCAGCATGCGCGAAAGCGGTATGTTCTCTTTTGGAGCGGAGTATTGTTAGTTTTTATTCATAATAACTTTGTAATTTAACTAGTTGAATTGAGTGTGGAATATATTCTAATATTTTTTTAAATTGTTGTCAACAATCACAAACTATAATATAAATACCGCAAATTAATAAGATATGTTTATGAAGGTATATTTTAATCCATGATAAATATTTAAATAAGTACGTGTAAATGTGTAATTTATAAAATATATTAAATAATATAATTATATATTATAAGTATAAAAATATAATATATTAATAATAGTTAATATTATGATAATGGTATCTATTTATGATAATTTATCAAATACACAAATTGTATTTTAATCAAATTTTAAATAATATACTTCTTTAGAATTAGATCCAAATATAAAAATGATATTTAGGAGAACAGTTGGTAGACGTATAAATGACAAATATAACAATAAAAAATGTATATAAATACATAAATTATTTTATAACGGGTTAATTTATTTAGATTTTGACAAAGACCTTAATGAATATGATGAGTTATCATTTTTGGTTATTGATGGAAATGAAGATGGAGACATTCTACTACTCCAACATTTACGTTGTGCATCGCATACGCTTAGTCTGTTGGCGACAACAGATTTCCAGAACATATCAAAGAATTCAAATGCCAAAAAGTACAATCATCCAGCATTATCAAAATGTTCGACCTTATGGAATTTGTTACAAAGGCTAAAATCTGTTATTACAAGATGTAATTCATTATATGATTCCATATCACAATTAATTAAACATAGAGCAAAATTAAACACCTTGACTAAAGAATTAGGTTTGAAGTATCAACTAAACGAAACTGACCTAAGTTATTTGACTAAATTTGTTTAATGAAACCTATTGCTTGTATTCTGGATCATCTACAAAGTGAATCAAATTTATATTATGGCCATTTAATTCCTATATTATTTCATTAAAAAGTCTATTGCAGTTATTTAAGGAATAACATTTGCGTTATACTTTCAACTTCATCGATCCATTAATAACCTTGTAAGAAAAACGATTCAAACTATATTTTGATCTCTACCTGAAGTAGATGAAGTTATATTGGCATCTTGTTTTCATCCTACATTTAAATTAAGATGGATTCCAGAACACCATGTAATTATGAAAAATAGAGTTAAAAATCTTTGTATCAACATGAAAAATATATAGTGAATTCTTCTCACACTAAGACATTAGTAGATAATATAGAAAATGAGGACTTTTTAATATTTTCATCTCAGGAATAGTGTTTTGATTCTAGGTCTAAATTAGAAGTAGTTTAGTTTTTTTACAATAAAAATAGGGCATTAATGTTTATGTTTTTTATTAATGTTATTCTATTGTGAACAAATTATTTATTAGACACAATACAAGTTTACTATCATCAGCTCTGTTCCTGTTTTCGTTTGCCGGATTTATTTGTACCCTACATAGGAGTAATTTATCAAACGCTAATTTCGAAAAACTTGTGTTTCTTAAAGGAAATGATATTTATAGCTAATATTATGAACATAATTTGTAAGTTATAATGCTAATAATATGGACAGTATGATTGGCTTGTTTTTAATTGATTTATAAAAACTAAAATTGTTTTATATAAATTTATATGAGTATAGTTTATCAATAGTGTATTATGTAAAAGTGTATTATAATTTTAATTAACATATCTTTGTAACAAAACTAAAATAAACAGTACCCACTAATTTTAAATTTATTATAAATTATAGCCAGAAAAAAATGTATTTCGTTTAAAGTACATATAAAATAAATATCCTTTTAGATGACAAATAATAATTACCTATACTTATATGGCCATTAAAAATGATCAGAAAATAACTAGGAATACTGATAATGCTTGTCAGTAACTATTTTTGTTAGTTCCTAACCTAAGTTTAATATATACGTTTAAATGATTTTGAGGTTAATTTTCTAATTATTCTTAGATAAAGGAATAATGCTGAAAAACATAATTTATTAATTTTCTTTTTTTTTAGTTTACATAACCACGATTCATCTAGATACCTGTTTATGTTTAATTGTGTTATTTCCTCCATTTGACTTTTTTTCATGTAACTTATTTATGTTTTGAGTTTTTCTTGTATTTATAATTTGTTATATTAACATAGTTTAATTTTATTATGTAGTATAGGTACCTTATTATTTTGAGTATAAAAATATATTTAAACATAATTAAGTGTCTACCTTTAATTTTTGAATTTTTAATTTCTCACCGAAATATTAAAAATAATTAGCATTGATTACATTTTTAATCCATTAAATTAAAATTAATGATATGCATCTAATTAAAATAAAATAATTATAATAACACCTAATGTTATAATATTATAAATATATAATAAATAATATAATAATAATTAATAATATATAACATAATTAACTAAGATAATTTCAATTTTTGATGTAAATTGTGTTTGTGCATTAAAAATATTATATAAAAATGTTATATAATTATTTAATATATTATAATTAATAAATAAAATGTAATTTTAAATACTTGCTTAGCTAATATTAGCTTTAACATGTATAAATAAATTGAATATATTTTATTGACTGAAAACAATATTATTATTTTTACAAAAATTTAATAAATTATGTGTAACTTGTAACTTAGTTACAGTAACTGTAACTTGTAACCAGTTACTCAAGATAATTTACTATCAAAAAAATATTAAAAAATTGGTGTATAATAAATGATTTTTCTGGTACACTTACAAGTTTAATATCAACTGATTCTCTATGTTATTTGCAATTATTAATTCAAAAACTACAATAATGCAATTTAAAATGTAGGTAAATGGTAGCGTTAATGTATGGAATTTTTTAATTCTATAAGATAACTTATAATTTTATAGATTAATATAGATATTTTTATAGATCTTTTGTAGAAGGACGTTCAGTTAATTTATTTAATGAAGACAAAAATATATACTTCAACTTTAGTTGTTCTACATACTAAGTAAATATTTTATAAACTAATTAGAACAATTTAATTAATGAATGTTAAAGTATTATTACATCCATGTATAAAATAGCAATATTCATCTTAATAAAAATTATTTTCATTTGTATAACATCAATTTATTAAAATTATTATATTATTGAAAAAAAAAAAAAAAATATTAATATTAAGTCCTACATTTTTATATAATTTTTATTTATTAATATTAATACATGATGGCTTAAATTATCTAAATTAGGGAAACCTAATCGGTATTCTATATATTTACTACTGAAACCATATAATTATATATTAACGAGCATATTTAGGAATTGTATAGAATAACTAGTTATTTAATAAAATAACGTGTTACCTACATAACCGCTAACATTTACTTACCTATGAAAATAGTATTTAGTAAGACTGCGATCATTACGCACAACAGCGTACGAAAATAATATTGTAATAAAAACGAACAAGACCTTACTCTGGAGAACTTTCTTTTGGTTTTTTCGAATACGCGTAATCCGTCGGTGATGGTGATAGTCTTTTATTCCAATGAAACGGCTGACCGGCCGCTATTAACGGTTCACTAACGGTAATATCGTTTTTAGTACTAGTCGGAGATTTGTACGATTGTTGTTTTTCTATATTATATTAAGATTAAAAGCACGTAATGAAAACATCGTAGAATACTTCTGTGCAAATATAGAAACGATGTATTGTGAACTATTTTACATGTTTATTTGTTACGTAGAAAATATTTACCCTAACAACTGAGTGTTCTCATAATTTAAAAATGTGTCAAATATAATAGAACTCCATGCCATCTGTTGCGGCCCTTTGAGGGCACTGCCGCCTCAGTCATATTATTATATGTTATCGTATTCTCGCAATTCGATTATTAATTGTTTTTTTTTATCGACATCAACGCGAATGCCATCTGATCCGTCTTTTTAAGCACACAAATTCAAATGGTTTTCGAATTATAACATAGAATTTGAGGCATGGAAAAGAGAAGAAAAACAAAAAAAGTTATTCAGTGTTTTTNCAAGCACCTCTCTCAAATTTATTAAAGAAAGATGTACAGTTTAATTTTAACAGAAATTGTCAGTTAGCATTTAATCAAATTAAAAGAGAAATCATATCTGATAGGAATTTAAAACATTTTGATCCCAATCAGGTGACAGTTCTTACTTGTGATGCATCAGCTTATGGTTTAGGTGTGGTATTATCGCAACTAGATGATGAAAACAAAGATGTGGCGTTTGCTTCAAGAACTCTGAACTCTGCAGAAAAAATTACAGTCAAGTTGACAAAGAAGCATTGGCAATTATATTCGGAGTAAATAAATTTAATAATTTTTTGTGGGGGAGGCAATTTGTCATTAAGTGTGATTGTAAACCATTAGTATATTTGTATATTTGGGCCAAAAAAAAGCATTCCTGTAATAACAGCGGACAGACTGCAAAGATATGCAGTGTTTTTATCAGGATATGATTTCAAAATCCAATTTGTAACATCAAATAGGAATAGTGCAGATGGGTTATCCAGATTGTCAATGGNCAATACTCAATAGATATATTTAGGAACTTGTTTGCAAGATATGGGTAACTTGAATACCTAGTAATAGATAATTTCTCACCTTTTACTTCTGTATATTTCCAACAGTTTTTAAGGGATAATGGAATAGGTCACAGGACATCTCCTTACTATCTCCAAAGCTATGGACAGGCAGAAAGTGGTGTAAAAATTATTAAAACCTTTTAAAAAAGATTAAATTATGTGACAGTAATAAGCGATTAGATCAGTTTTTATTCGACTATAGGATTGCCACACATACCACAACCAAAGAAAGTCCGGCTAAGTTATTGTTTGGTAAGAACCTACGTTCTAGATTTGACATACTCAAGCCTAATATTAGATTAAGCGTCTCTGATAATCAGGAAAAACAATTGAAGGGTAAAACTCTGTTGAGAGAGTTTGAAATAAATGAAATTGTACTAGTGAGGGAATATGCAACAAACACGTGGATTAGAGGAAAGATCAAACAAAAAGTAGGTAGTGTATTGTATACCAGGAAACGGTACAGTACATAAGAGGCACATAGACCAATTAATAAAACTGAAGGATATGAATGAAGCTAAAGATTTAGATAAAACTGAAAAGACTGAGGAAATTAAGGATATAGTTGAAATTGAGANTTAGTTTGAATAGAAATTATATTATATAAAACTTAGACACGTAAAACCTATATTATGAATGTTCAATGTACATAGTATTTTTAAAGGTAGAAGTGTTATGAATGTAGATTGTACCTTATCTAATTTATATTATCTATGTAACATTGTAATAATATGTGATAAGATTATGATAGTAGATTATGTAATGTGTGTTATACCGACACAGTCAGTATTCACTATATAACGTTGTTTTTAATAGTCAAAATATAAGAATTAATAATATTAAAATGAAACTGTAAATTGTATTATAACACATACAGAACACTCCTGTATATTTTATTCTTTGTAGGTTCTTCTACGTATTATCCTATCATTTTAAATATTTTTGTCTTCTATTACTATACTTAGTGTCTTAGTCTATCTCACTCCACCCTAACTTTATATTTCTCCCCCCTAACACTTTTCACACCCCTTTTTATTTTTCCTATTTTTTGTATTACTACAGTATTATTCTTTAGTACGTGTTATACGAAAAAAAGGACGGACTTTTTCTCGGAATTCGCACGCGGGTGCAGCCACTGTTTTAGGTGGGAAATTGGGTAGGTAGGATACAGCAGTGAATTTAATGTATATCTGTAAGCAACGATAAAATATTGATAACGAAAAAATGATTCTGAGCGAAGTTCAGTGATGCCTTTTCAACA